TTACGGTTTAGAGCTTAGGGTTTAGGGTTTAGGGTTTAGGGTTTAGAGTTTAGGGCTTAGGGTTTAGGGTTTGGGGTTTAGGGTTTAGGGTTTACGGTTTAGAGCTTAAGGTTTAAGGTTTAGGGTTTAGAGTTTAGGGTTTAGGGTTTAGGCGGTGTGTCAGCGTTTTCTGTCTTCCACCAAGGCACAAGGAAGGGCTTCAACCCGGGGCTGGGGTTTAGTTAGGGTCGAATGGCCGAATTCCTAAGCCCAGAAGCCCTGAACCTTAAACCCTAAGCCCAAAACCCACAACTCTAACTGAAACCCCAAACCCTACACCCTAAGCCCAAAACTCACAGCCTTCTGGCGTCGAGGGTTTAGGCTTCGGTCGGGAGCTTTCGGTGGGGCTGTCAGGGGTTTTTTGGGTTTAGGGCTCCGGGCTCTTGGGGGGTGTTTAAGGTGGGCGGCATAATAGGGTGTAGGGTTTGGGGGGTTGTGGATTTAGGGTTTTATATTTTGGGTGTTGGGGTACTGGATCGAGGTGTTTAAGGTTCATGGCTTCGGGTTCAGGTGTCAGGGTGCGGGGTGCAGGGTTTCGGGTTCAGGGGATAAGTTGGAACTGTTTGATTGTTGGACACTTTGACAAGTGAAATAGAGCGATGGCTCGAATATACTCGACGAAACCAATTCCATTTCTTGAGGTTCTGGGATTTAGGGCGCGGGGCCTTTCGGTCCTAAATGATTACCAATACTATTTTGGGCGTTCCTTACTAGAGTTATAGTAGAATAGCGCCAAAAGCCCTATTTTAAATTTTAAGGCCCCCATATTAGGTTTAGGGTTCGGGGTTTAAGGTTTATTGGTGTTAGGGCTTCTGGGGTTGCAGGCTTGCGGTTTCTGATTTAACTTCTTGAATCCTTCCAGTTAGGTTTTCGGGCTTAAGGGGTTAGCATTTAGGGGTTTAGGGTTTAGGGTTTTACAAAGGTTAGGTTTTGCGTGTACGGCTTTTGGCGGCTTCGGCTTCAGGGCTATCGATTGTGTGTAGAGATCCTAAACCCTAAACCCTGAGGGTAATTATGACATATTCGTACCTATGCTCACCTCAGGAGTCGGTCCACGCACATCACTACGGATTGCTTGGGCTCTGGTTGCAGGGGTTGGCTTTGGGGGTGAGGGGCCGGAAGACCATAAAAAATGTTGGAGTATGATAACCAAACCCTGTCACCTCGCTTCTCGATACGCTCTGAAAGATGCAGACTGAAGCGGCTCCAGCATTCTAAAGCACAGTCTCGATGGCACTCTACCTAGAGCTTTTCGCTTCTTTATCTACCGTAAACCACTATTCCTATTAATATTCCCAGAGACTCCGATACCCCTTAATTAAGGAATATACCTTAAATCTTATTAAGGGTCCCTACTATAATTTAAGGTATATTCCTTAATTAAGGGGTATTGGAGTCTCTGGGTTACTGTTCTTCGTACTATTGTTGTATCGGGGCCAGAGAAGACTCGATCCTTTTCCCTGCAGGCAGGAGATCCGAATCAGTGAAACCTGCGCCGCACATCCTACGTATCGACGCCTAAACCTCGTCTTACTGTAGAGGCCGCAACAATTAGACTAGGGTTTTGGTCTCCTTTATAGTACATGTATAATAAGGAACCCTGGCAGTAATATTAATTATTTAGGCTTCATATGAGGGGTTTGGCGGTGAACGATACACCCCAAACCCTAACCCTAAACCCCATGTAACCCTCATACCCAGAGAGCCCAATTCCCCTTAAATAAGGAATAGCTTAAATCTTAAAATGAAACCCCTTAATCCTGAAACCTGGGAAGAGGTCGACGGTCTGACTGAATGCCCTGCGGCGCCGGGCGATTCACCCGCTACTGCTCCTTTGCAACCTTGAACTCAGAAGTATACCCTAAACCCTAAACCCTAAACCCTAAACCCCTAAACCCTAAACCCTAAACCCTAATTAGGGTTTAGGGTTTAGCGCCCACCAAGGCTGATACCAGGTCCCCCATGCCGAGGGCCCTAAATCCTGAACTATGGGACGTAGAACCTGAACCCTAAGACCCAAACGCAAAAACCACAATGAGAAAGAGATACACCAAAACCCTAATCTTGAAATCTAGAGCCCCTAAACCCCCTAAATCCCAACCCTGCACCCTGAACCCTATAGAATTGAACCGGTTACTTACACTATGAATACAAGAAGGTCTTGGGTTTTAGGCTTAGGGTCTAGGGTTTAGGGTTTGGGGTTGGAGGTTTGAGGTTTAGGGAGGAACCCTCAGGAACACTATTAGTAACCATTGGTTGAAGCTTCTATGTTACCGCTGCTCCGTTCTTTGCTCATTTCTCCGGCGGGCGACGACCTGCGCATGACGGGCAAATGCCAAGTTTACGGGCGATAAGCTCCCGGGTTGAGGGTTCAGAGTTTAGGGCTAAGGGTTTAGGGTTTCAGGGGTTAGGGGCTAGGGCTTAAGGTTTAGGACTTTGGGTCTAGTAGGCTTCAGGGTAGGGCGGATAAGCTCAGGGGTTGAGGTTTACTTAGTTTCAGAAGCACTGATCGCATAGGGTGGGCTTTGCGGGTTTGAAAACTGGGGTCAAGGAGAGGATATGAGAATTTCTTTCAAGTCCCGTTTGAGAGAACCCAGCAGCCCTTTATTGGGATGTTCTCTAAGTTAGGGTCCCGCTTTAGGCCCCCAATCGTGTACGGCACCTTTATGAAAAGGACCCGAATTAGCGACCCTAGTTTAAAGAACTACCCATTCAGGTATCTGCATTAATCCGCTCATGTTAGGGATCACTCTGACACTCTGACATGCCAATAGTAACCCAGGCCCCTCAAATCATGACCCGAACCAGGGTTTAGGGTTTGGGATTGAGGGTTTGGGGTTAAGGAGTTTGAGGTTTAGGGCTGTGGGCTTTGGGCTGGGCTTAGAGCCACCCGAGAATCAAGGCCCCTAAACCCCGAAGCCCCCTGGAGGAAACTGGTGACCATGCACAGTATTCTTTCGATGATGTTACTCAGGGACATGCGTTAAAACCAATGATGCCAACTAATATAGAAACAGAATATAGACCCTAAACCCTAAACCCTAGACCCTAGATTGTGCGGGTAGAGCAGCACCAACATTGACTGGTGCGAGTAAGGAAAATTATGCACAGCGCCGCCAGAGCGAGCAGTTAATTTCTCTGCTGCTGGTTGTTCTTAAGGGAGGTGCAGGATCCTCGATTTTGCAGTCTCCAGAGGTAGAGGGGCATCCATGACAAAGAGCTGGCTTAATGAAGTTCTACGATGCGACGACTCTGCCCCTTCGCCCAGTCCCTCCACAGCCCCGGCAGCTCAAGCCCTAAAGGCTCTCTGACTTGAACCCCGACAGCTAGACCGCTAAACCGCAAACATCCCTAGCCCACAACTTTTGTACTGCCGTCCAAGGATAAGTGGCGCAGATCCGGCCTGAGCAGCCTCATCTTCTAGATCGTTCATCATCCTCTTCGTTGAGAAGACGGTGATGATGTTCCTGGCTACAATAAGCCAAAACCCGGCCACGACGACCAGCAAGTATGTACCAGTAGTAGTCGTAGTAGCTAGCAGTAGCAGTACGAGCAAGAGCAGGAGCCGGTGGTGGTGGTAGTAGTAGTAGTAGTAGTAATAGCAGTAGTAGTAGTAGTAGTAGTAGTAGTAGTAGTAGTAGCAGTAGCAGTAATAGTAATATCAACCCGGATGGTCGGCACCCGAACTTCGATGCAGCCCCATATACGAGACCCGGGAGTTCAGGGTTTAGGGTTTAGGGTTTAGGAATCATACGGTTTATGGTTTTGGTAGGAATAGGGCGGGGCCATAAGGACTAGAAAGCGGGATTTTCGGCTTTTCCTTGCTAGAGGGTGGCTTGGGGGTCTGGCGGTAACCGCTGAGGGGTCAGGCTGACCCGGGGCTCGTCTCAGTTGTGGTTTGCTGTGAAGCGCGCGCTACGAGCAAGAAAGCCGTTTGTGAGGGGGGTTTTGGGGGCGAACCCCTGAAAAAGGTGGGGCGGGACTGCATGCTGACGCAAGCGCGCGATAAAGTGAGCGCCCCCATTCCTAAAGAAGCGCACCCACCGCGCGCACACTGTATACACACCCTAAACCCTGAACCTTAAACCCTAAACTGGCCCGGCCCTAAAGGTTCAACCGCGGCAGCCCCACGAGATGGTGTCCAAGCCGACACCGAGGATTGTGAAGAGCAGAGCGCCGAAAGCCACCCTCATTCATGCTTACGGGGTTCAGGGTTTGGGGCTTAGAGTTGAGGCTTTGGGGGCTATTGGGATTTACAGTATATAATTCAGGCGTATAGGGGTTAGGGTTATAGGATGATTCAGGCCCCGGGGCTTTGCCACAATAGTGTATCATAGTACAATTGCGTTGGGGAATGTGATGGATGAGGCTTTTGCGTCGTGTTACACACACGCACTCTCTCTATCACGGAGGTCGAGGATTGTGTCAAGTGAAGCAACCTATTCCATTCATCCATCCACCCATCTTCAAACAAAAATACACACAAGCACATGTCTGACTTGCGTTTTTTACCTGCACAGAATCATGCACACATATCACATGCGCACTTGATCTCAGGTACATTACAGCATGCAAACATATATACATGCACACGCCCGGCCCCCTCATGTGCGTGCAAGCACAGACGCACAAACAGACAGACAGACCGACAGACAGACCGACAGACCGACAGGCATCCGGCGGTGGGGCATGGGCCTCACTCGGATCGGCTCCGCCCCGGGCCGCAGGGGCACCTCCCTCCGGAGCGGGCACAAGAATAAGCCCGCAGCAAACTTCTTGGCGATGCGGAGCGTCTGCTGTATCATGAGCTCACGCTCGACCTGCATTTGTTGTCGTCCCTCTGCCTCTGCATCCGGCGATCCATATCTTGCCCACGTCCAATAAATTTTGCAAAGGAAAACCCAGTCAAAATCTGCCGCTTACATCTTGGATACGGAGCAGTGACATAGTGGTAGTGGATTTTTTAAAGATGCTTTCCCCGTCCAGACCATTGACTCGGCAGGACTGGTCGGCGAAATTGCCTGCGCAGACTCCATTGATGCAGGGTCGACTAGAGGCACAGCAGGTCGTCGTCGTAGCGAGAGTTTGGAAGTAAGTGGGGAGTTACACCAGGCCTCGCTGAATCGGAAACCCAAAACTCTCAAAACACCTAGCCCCAACCCGAAAGTAGCTTGTCAACCAAGAACTCTAACCCACTCCTAGATCCTGAACTCTGGACACGTTACGACGGGGGAATACTTCCCTACCAGCCCCGAGATGGCAGCAAAAAGCCCGACAAAGGCCAGACATCCTCTTATCATTGCTATTATTATTGCCATTTTTTGTTTATTAATATTCGTATTCTTATTAATATGATTAATACTGCGATTATTAATAGTATTACTAGTACTACTGTGGTTGTTACTATTACCACTACTATTGCTGTGATTGTTACAAACGATTACTTGGAATAGAAAGGGTTTTGGTTTAGATTTCAGTGCTTCGGGCTTAGGCTTAAGGCTGATGGAAATCTGCCCAAACTGCAAACACACGCCCAAAATCAAGAAGCACGGTCTCCGGAACAAATCCCATAATCTAGGATCCTGAAGAATCAAAAAGGAGTTTTGGGGTATATCATACTACATGAATAGTAAGCCGTAAACCCTCAACCCAAAACTCTAAACCCCACAACCCTAAACTCTAAACCCTAAACCCCCTAAACCTAAACCCTAAACCCTAATCCCTAAACCCTAAACCCCACAACCCCACAACCCTAAAGCCTAAACCAGGCTTCTATGATCACCAGGCCCTAAGCCCGACACCTCAAGCTCCCAGCGCCTTCTTTCAAGAGCCCCAGCTTCAGGGTTTGGGGTTTAGGGTTCAGGGTTTAGGGTTTAGGGTTCAGGGTTTAGGGTTTAGGGTTTAGGGTTTAGGGTTTAGGGTTTGCGGTTTGTGGTTTAGGGTTTGGGACTTAGGGTTTGGGGTTTAGGGTTGTGGGGCTTAGGGGTTTTAGGGCTTAGGGCTTAGGGTTTGGGGTTTGGGGTTTGGGGTTTAGGGTTTAGGATTTGGAGTTTAGGGGTTGTGGGTTTAGGGGTTTTGGGGTTTAGGGCTTGGGGTTTAGGGCTTAGGGTTTGGGGTTTAGGGGTTGTAGGGTTGTGGGTTTAGGGCAAGTCTACGAAGATTCATGAATGCTCATGTTGCTAGAGCCTGAAATATTGCAGCCTAAACCCAAACCCAAAAACGGCAAGCACCGCGCACACTCTACATTCTTAAACCCCAAACCCTAAACCCCAAACCCTTAACCCTATATAAACCCCAAACCCTAGACCCTACATCCCAAATCCTGAGTCCCTGAACCTTACAAGCCTTAACATCGAGCCCTAAAATCCCTAAAAACAATGCCCTGGTGGCAAGGACCCCCAACTCGGTTCTTGCTAAGGAACTTAGCTTGAGCTACCATAATGGTGATATACTGGTGGCAAACAATACGGTGCGGTTTCCTTCTCATGGCACCTTAAAATTCAGGGACAGAATCCAAAACATATCTCAGTACCCCTAAACCCTAAACCCTATTATGGAAACTTTACTTAAGTTCCCTGTCATCATGCCTAAACCTACACCCCCAAACCCTAAACCCCAACCATTTTCAAGAACCAGCAAAGTACCCGACCTGTTGGCGTTCTTGGAGATCTTATAGGAGCCCTTTGCTTGCGTCTGGCCGGCAAGGCTAGCGACGTTAGGCTTCAGGGTTTGGGGTTTAGGGTTTAGGGTTTAGGGGTTCAGGGGTTTAGGGGTTTAGGGTTTGGGGTTTAGGGGTTTGGAGTTTACGGGTTTGGGGTTTAGGGTTAGGGTCGTGGAGGCTTTCGGGCTTCGGAGCATTGGAGTTTAGGGATTTCCGGGGTTTAGGGACTTACCGGGCTTCGGTTTGATGTTTCCTTTAGCCCTAAACCCTAAACCCTAAACCGTCCCTAAACCCTGAACCCTAAACCTTAGGGGTTTAGGGATGTCGGGCTTCGGGGTTTAAGGGAGTTAGGGTTTAGGAGCTTCCGAAAAGGAAGGGGTGCCTTATTTTGGGGTCCGTATAATAAGGACCCTGCTGTTCAGGGTACTCTATTCTATACTGAACTTAGACCCCTAGCAAAAATTATAATTTTAGCTGCTTCTTAGGGTTTATAGTAACCAAAGATTAAAAATTATTTCTAAGTACCCCTAAGAATTAGGGTCTCCTATTTTCGGAAACCCCCGTGTAGGAGTTAGGTAGGGTTCAGGATCAAAGGCTTTAGGACTTCGGGCGTCGGCCTCAAGGGCTCCATGGTTCAGGTTTAGGGTTGAGGGTTTTGGGTTGAGGGTTGAGGGTTGAGGGCTTAGGGTTTAGGTTTGAGGCTTGAGGGTTTAGGGTTGAGGCTTGAGGGTTTAGGGTTTAGGGTTGAGGGTTTAGGGTTTAGGTTAGGGTTGAGGAATTGGGGCTTGGCACATCTAGGGGTTGCGCATTTAAGGGTATTGGCTCCTAGGCTCAGGGTACGCTTTGGGGTTTGGGCTTTTTTTAGCGAGATGTTGAAATCTCATCAGCGAAATTGCCAAATGCATTGCACTGACCTGCCAGACTCCGAAACCCTAAACCCCTCAACCCCCAAACCTCCTAAACCCTAAACTCTAGCTGCCGTTCATCTTCGGCATGAGCGCGCGTACATACTTGCACTGGTGAGGATGCATGACAAGAGACACTTCCACCTGACCAAAGCCAGTTGCTTAAGGGTTCTGTAAGGGGCATTCATCATGGTTCTAAGGGTGCTGACGAGGGTTCTTACAAGGGTTGTAGGCGGGTAATATTCGTCGCACTCATTCGAAGCATTGGTATGCATCGGCATCCTCTGACCGGCACACCCACTCAGAGTCTAGGTGCTCGTTGGCTCGAGGCCTTCGGCATATGTTCGGACCGCCCGATGCAACCACTGAACCTGGTCAGAGCTGTTGCCCTCCGGCTCAGGAATTTCGAACGCCTCCTCGTTGAGGTCACTAATGCCTCCTTCCTTTCACGCGGAAGCTTCGACTTCAAGAAGCTGCTGATAATCTGAGAGTGGGCCACAGACAGCCTGCCACGGACCAGGGCTGGACTTAACAACCAACCGGCTTTCACCACTGCACCCTTGCTCAACCCTAAACCCTAAACCCTAAACCCCAACCCCTGAACCCTAGACCCAAACCCCTAAACCCCGCTCCTGGGTTCGTGAACATGTGCTTTGCCACTTACGGTAGGATTCGTTCTTTGGACCCTAAACCCTAAACGAAGGCATGGATGTGGCTTTTCCTGTGACTTCAGGAGGAGAGGTCGGTCCTTCAGCCGGTTTGTATGAGCCCGGACGTTAGGATTTAGGGCTCGGGCTGAGGATTTCGGGCTTTCGGCTTAGGATTCAGGGTTTAGGATTTAGGGTTCAGGGTTGCGGCTGAAGCGAAATCAGGCTCCAGGGCTTTTTTTGTTTTTAAGGTTTAGGGTTTAGGGTTTAGGGTTCAGGGCTTTAGGATTTAGGGTGCGTTGAAATCGGTTAAGGACTCAGTGAGGTATAGCAAACAACCCGGTATGTAAGAGCTTGCTTGTCAACTTTCTGACAGCTACTTACAGGGACCCGCAATGTGATCGAAAGTATGTTGCACTACGGCTGATGATATAAATCCTGCATTACCCATAACAAGGAACATACCATAATTCCCAGAGTTTCGGGCCCTTAAGGTAATGCAGGCTTAGGTAATGCAGGCTTTATATCTCCAACAGTATGGCGGCGCATTAACAACTGAACTCGGCCAACTCCACGTCCCAACGCGTGAGAAACCCAGAGTCATTCCTGGCAGAACCTTGAGACCCTTCGCACAGTTTAGGGTTTAGGGTTTAGGGGCCCTGCACCATGAATCCAATCGACCCGCAAACTCCAAACGGGGTCTAAGCCCTTTCCCTTACCCTCAAAGGACTGATTTTTTGAGGCTTTTGGGCCCAAAGACCCTATTACATAAGGCTTTTGAGCTATTTTGATGCTATGGGTTAGCTTGAGCCTGAGACACCGACCGCAAATACCTTTGGAACCCAAAACCCCGAACCCTGACGATCAAGTCTCACCAGCCCCTAAACGCCAAACTCCAACAGCCCTGAACCCCACTCCCTAGAACCCAAAAAGACCTAAACCCTAAACCCTCAAACCCTCAACCCTGAACCATATAAAACCGAAAAGGCCTCAAGCAAAAACTAAATCCGGCGCCTTAATCCACACGCTCCTTTCTTCCACTCGCTGGGCTTTGGATCGAGCTCTCGTGGCCTTGCGGAGCACTTGAGTTTGAGTAGGAAAGGCACTAGGATTCTGAGCTATATTCGATCTCGATAGGAGAACAGTTGTAAACGAGACAATGTAGGGGCCTTAATAATTCGAACAGGGTTTTGAGGGCTCCATCATATTATAGTATAATGTACGCCAAAACCCTATTCTCATTATTAAGGCCCCTATGTTACTTTGTTCTACGCTAACTGCCCAAGTCACGAAACAGCAGCTAGTAGCCGAAGCAACAGGCTCTGTTCGCGTTCCTTACAAGCCCCATGCGACTTGTATCAGCGAACGAAAGCACTAGTTCTTGCTGTGCTTCTTTAAAATTCTCACCTAGCGCGTCTCCGGCCGATGCTGCTTCGTGCTCAAAGGAATAAGAATGCGAAGACTCTACTGTCCAGCGCACAGGCGCTGCGCTGCACACTGCGCGGTATGCATTCACGATTTGCGACGTCGCCTGTGCATCCTGTCGTTCAGTTTGCAGCTACACAAGCCTGGGATGTGCAAGGTCCTCCAACTCATTCCTTTCCTTCCTGACTTCCCAAACGAAGGCCTGCGCAACCCAGCTGAACAACAGGATGCCCATTGTAACCTTGAGGCCATACGGGCCATACTCATGAGACTTCATATTTCACGCCAAATCCTAAGCCCTTGCCCCTAAACGTAAATGATGCATCCTGAACCCTAAACCTATACCCACAACCCAAATCAAAAATCCATAAGCTTATACTACTCACATGTCACGGCCCCCTTCACTCGATTCCGTACAGCTCATGTTCAATCCGAGAGACAATGCTTTTGGGCTGCTGGGATTTGGGAGTTTCCAAAAATAGGGGGCCCCAATATGGTACCCTACATAGTAGGATCCCTCTTATAAGGACCCTAAACCCTAAACCCTAAACCCTAAACCCTAAACTCTAAACCCTAAACCCTATAAGGACCCCTAAATAGGGTACCTTAGTTTTCGGAAACTCCCAT